GGTTGATTAAGTGGTGATAATATAGGTATTAGTAATTAGATATTGACCAAACTGCTATTCATAAAGGTAGTTGTGGACGATTTTAATTTTTTTCAATAGCTTAGTAAATAAATGCAGTCCAAAGGTTATTTTCTTTTAACTCCTTAACTGACCTAATCAGTTAATTCTTTAGTGGCATCACGTTATTTTTTTCCTTAACTGACTTACTCGGTTATTTTTTTAGTGGTATCACGTTTTTATGCTTTAGTGGCAAATGGACAATCTGTACTCAATTACACTCACTCATATTTCATTCAACAAAATAAGCAATGATATTCACACTTTCATATTACAAGTTCTTTTTTTTTACTTAATATAATTTTCAATTGAGTTTTAATTTTTTTAATTTGTATTGTGCAGGGTTTAAAAATTCTGAATCCAACAAGAAGAGACATAGAGTTATCTGTAGGTTCTTCATCATTTAGAGGAAGGATGAATTGTCATTTGAAGGAAATTTGAATTGAAGATAATTACTCGTCTGATTTCATATACAACTGGGAAGGTACAACACATATACATGGCATGCATTTGTGGTTGTCAACACATATACAACTGGGAAGGATGAATTGTGGTTCTTCACCAGGCCGGTTATGATTCCAAAAATATTGGCCATCAACCTGCCGATTCAGACCCGAAAATGGCGGGTCGGGCCGTTTTACCACGTCTAGATACATAGGATGAGTTTAACGCCATCAATTTTGAACCTCTTTCAAATTTTAAAGAAGACAATTTTATTTGATAGTTTCTTATATCATGACAATTACCAAGAGTCAAATCAGACTTTTTTGAATGTTGGTTCATACATGAATAACTTGCCTTCGGTCATAATCAACTCGGTTTTGTTGTTTTTAGAGTTACGAACAATGAATTTTAATATTAATGTTGTCACGCTAAAAAAAAAAAGCACGCCAATAAAAGATATATACACAAGGAAAAATTTAATAATATATAAATAAATCTTTGTAAGATTTCACTTTTTTTGCAGTTATATCCTTTTTATATATCTTCCGTGCATTTGCACCGGCAATCATACTAGTTTATCTATAATTAAACTGGCCTAGTGCAATAAATTGTAATAGCTAGAGATACTTACTTCTACAGCAAGGAGAGCATCAAGGTTGAAATCAACTCTCGGGTTAACACCAGCAAGTTTCATAGACAAGAACTGAAGCCAAATAAACATTTCTAATCAGCTGGAGTGTACTGAAATGCAATACAGGTGTAAAAAGGCATAGATTCCCATCTATCCGGGTGTTGCATATTGATGTCTGTTAGGTTTTAATCAATTGATTAGCACAGGTTTATAAAATTCTTCCAAATCTGGTGGATATTCTGAAATTTTCCATGTCGATAACCAATTTATATTGGTGGGCACAAAAAAGTGAGCAACTTCATAAACATCTCACTCTTGCAACAAGAATTCTACAATTTTGTGGCTTCAAACAAAAGTTTAATATAGTTTGATATATTTCTCAAATGGGAATTTGAATTTTATCACTTCTGATAAGAAGAATGCTTTGAGTCTGACCTCCACTTGACGTTGAAGTGCTTGTACATGATTTATTATCTCATCCAGAACCATTGCAGTACCTGAAATCTGTGGTGGAAGGGGAAAAAAGGATTTATTTCTACACATTTGTCAGAAAATTAACATTTTATTCACTTCAGTTTAAAATTGCTTCAATTAATCGGTTAATAATAGTCTCATAGAGCAGCTGCTTTGTCTTGATAGCCATCAGCTTTTCTTCCTTGTCCCCAATTAAAAAGTTGACATCCACCCCATTTACATTATCTAATATCTTTTACAATCAATACTTTTTGACAAATAAAAAGGCATACTCTAATCATCAGTAAATAGCATCGTAACAAGGACAAAAAATGATTTTCCGATTCAGCAACTTCCTCAAAAAAGTCTGAACAACAAAATTTAGTCCTTTGCAGAATTTAGCACTTTCAAATGACAGGGTTTGACAGCTTACCTTGTGGCATCCTGGGACTAGCTCCTGCAATAGCTTCATCCTGGCATTGATCTTCTCTCTCCTGGCCTGTAGAATTCGTCGAAATTTATGATAACTAATCAGGTTCAAGAAAATGATTTAAAAGCAGGTTATGGTATTCAGAAATTACTCTCTCAGCTAAGCTGTGATTGTCAGTAGCTTGACCACGGCGGGCTCTGACCTGAACATACGGCAGCTTCTCGCCACTCATTTCGGAAGCTTCATTTGCTACCGCCTTTTTGCTCTTCTTTTTCGGTTCTTTAACCTGATTACATAAACACAGAATTTCACCGTACAAACTCTACATTACATCTCAGTGATGACAAAATATTCTACTACGAAAATGACAAATTAAACTAGAACATAAATATGAAACGAGCTTGTGTAATTATTGGAGTTTGAATTTACCTTCTTCTCCCTCTCCTTTCGCTTGCCGGACTTCAAACTCTGATTATAAACCGCCGGCGAAGAGAAATCCTCCGGTGGCTCGTGCTTCACCAAATCTAGCTTCATCGAGCTTGAGGCTGAAAATATCGTAGTACTCACTGGGGAATTATCGGCCGACGCGTAGGCAGATAGCATAGAGGCTCGGTCAACGAGGGCAAAATCGGAAAGGAAAATCGGAGGCGGCATGGGCTTAGCCGGAAAGTCTTCCTTGACCAAGAGCTCCATAGCCTGCGGCGGCGGAAGTCCGAGGAGCGCCGAGAACGAGCTGCCTTCTGTTTCCGCCGGGCCGGATATTAAGCTGTGGATTTCTTCAAACCCGAATTCCGATCCCCCGCGTTTGGGTCCGGATATTTCGGATCCATATTGCAGTGAGGTGACTTCAAAATTTCCTTCCATCAACTGGGAATGTGGGTCGCTAAATTCTAGGTCAAATTGTGATGCCCAAGACTTCTTTTTGAGAATTTCGCACAAAATCACTCGCAAAACGAATGGAAATGACCGGAGAAAAGTGATACAGAAACGGAGAAGGGTTAGAACAGAAATTGAATTCGAAATTCAGATCATATTTCTAAAATGTCGCCGGAAAATCAGAAAAGGGACACCAAAACTCAGCACCATTGCCTCTCAAAGCCGCCGGAATCCGAAAAACCCGAACAAAATTTCTGCAGTTTGCTCTGTTTATCACCGTAGAAATGCTTCAACATTTCCAAAACTCGAGGGTTCTCAAGGAAAACGATAAAAAGGAGCTAAAGAAACCTTCTTGCAGCTGCAAATGGCGCTTGAAAAACACGAAGCTTCTTGCAGCTGCAGCTGTATTTCTCTCTCCTTTTTACCTTTTCCTGGCTGAAGCTGAAAACCCCATTTCAATGGCGGTCAAAACCTACACCTTTGAGTGTAAAACACTAAAATGGAAAATAATTTTGCATTTTCTTCTCATTTTCTTCATCTGTCATCAGCTTATATCGGTAGAGTTACACGCACCCTACTCTACTGTGTGTACTGCGCTGCGACAGCAACATTTGCAGTTTGGTCCCTACTCTCTCCGCCGTCTTTCCTTTTCAACACCCCTCACTAATTCTTTTATTATATCCCCTTTTCATTTAATTAGTGCGTAGCCCGTGTAATGCACGGGAAAACAATATTACGATTGTATTATAAATTAAATATATAAATAACATAATCATGATATATGTATTGTTTTTACATTAAACCGGGTTGGATATAGTCCGACCGGATTGACGGAGAACCAATTTACAACCAGTCTAGTTCACTTGAATAAGATATTTGCTTTTGAATCCGTCAACACCAGTCGATTGGATTTGTAGGATCGACACGATTTTTTTAATAAATTTTATTATATTTTATTTCGTTTTGGCCTTCGGGAACCCTTGTCTTTGTTTTCTTGTTCGCTTTGTATTATCATTTAATTTTTTATAATTAATAACCATACGTATTTTGTCTTCGTTTTTCAGCTTAAAATTATTTTAAATAAAATTACATATTTAAATAAAATAGAGATTTATAAATTATTTATCAATTAGTTTAAACATTTGAATTTATAAGTTTTTTAAATATCTAAGTAACACATTTTGTTTAAATTTATTACAAAAAATACTATATATATTAAAATGTTTATAAATTAAAATCTGAACAAACCACAAATGATTTAATAAAATAGTTTGATCGTTTCGATGACAATCCAGTTCTGAGAACCTTATATTTAATGTACATTAATAAATATTATAATAAAATATTTTTTTATTCACATAAATATTAATAAAATGATATATAAATATTCATAAATCATTAAACATGTTGTCATAAAAGTATTGTTAATACGGTTATTTGAAATTTGGACTACATCACATTCACGTAATAAAATATTTTCAATATAAAATTTATATTTAGGTTCAATAATCGATTTGGTGTGATCGAACTGATTCATAACTTAGTCACATTGGACCATTGTGTCAAGTTTTTTGATTATTTTAAATATCACCTAAAAGTAATTCAATCAACCTTGGCAGTACCCTAATTTAATCACCAGATTGATCCGAACAAATTTTCTTATTTTCTTTAAATATATTTAATTTTATGAAATAAAAATATTTTATGATTCATATAATAAATGTCTACACCAAATGATAGTATATTAAGATTATAAATTATATATCTTAAGATGAATTTATTATTTTTACTTTATGCATATTAATAAAAAATAAACATAGTAATTTTTTAAAAATCAAGATTATTTGATTGATTATGCAATTTAAAGAATATTTTTAGCGTTCAATTTTTTTTAAAGGCACAAATATAAAGACCGAGATTCTAAAACTTTTGTTATATTTTGAATTGAGATTTTATAAATATAGAGACCAAGATTTTAATTTTGTTCGTTGTTTCTAAGAAAAAAATACAAATAAAAACATACACACTTAATAAATCTTAGCTGGATTTTTTAAATAATAAAATGTACTATAGCCCGAATTTAAGGTAACATTTAATGATGTATGAATTTTAAAGAAAAAATAAGAAAAATAATAAAACTTACTATTTATAGACTTCATTAAATTCTGATATATTTTTTTGCTACTATTTTTGGTAAATGTTAATTCTTATTATATATATATATATAAATATATATATATATATATATATATATATATATATATATAGATGTCTTTAATAATGTTCGCGTTAATTGCTGGCCTAAACTAGTCTAGTGATGTTTATATAGACAATGATATGATTAGCATTGCCAAAAAACCGATCATCTCTCCTCAGCTCAACTCATCAGCATCGACAATTTGAGTTTTTATGTAATTTTTTATTATTTTTATTAATTTGATACGTTAAAGTTCGAGTTGATTGGTCAAAGTTTGAGTTCAACTTCTTTATTAGAATGTTCTATTCTATATTGTAAGAATATTGGTTTGGCATCGTTCGACAAACCTAAGTGTTTCCTATAAGATTTTCTTGTTAGGCAAGCAAAATAAATTAAAGAGAAGTTTTCTATTACTTGTTAATTAATTAAGTTCCTATTATTTATTATTAATAATATATTTATTATAATGTGTATATGGAGTCTTAAACCTTTAGGAGAAGGATTACATAATATATATCTTATATATCTACTTACTATATGTGCCACATGCATTAATGAGCTTAATTCTATGTCATAATTAGTTTTCTCTTTCTTGTAGGATAAGGAATAAACGGCAAGGACTATGAAAGGATGAACAATTCGTGTATAAGGAGTTCTGGACGTTCATTAGAAGATCTAAGGAGGATTTGGAAAGATTCACCACAAGATCTTTGAAGATTTGGAAGATCGATTATTTTAGGAAAGTCTTGTTCTTACACGAGTTGAGGAGAGATCAAGAGAATATTTACTTTCCATGTTTCCGCATCATACAAGGAAAGAAGACCTTGAGAGAGAAGGAAGAGTCCTACACTTACCATGTGACTTTGGATAAACTTGGAAGGAAATAAAAAAAAAGTCTTATACTTGGAGAAGACTCCACACATAAGGAGTTATATATATACCCTACTTGAAGATCGAATCAAGGCTGCTGAAATCATTATCTTCCATTCATTATTCGAGCTTCAAGCCTTTTTAGGTTTTATTTTCATTGTTTAGTTTTCAGTGTTCTTACGACATTGAAGACCTGAAGCCTTTTGTTTTGATTCTTTTGTTTTTCATTCAAACACTTTTGTGATCAATACTTAGGGATTAAGTGCTGTTTTTAGCTTGAGGGATTCGAGAGTTAAAACCCACGGGACGTGGCCGGAGAAGTAGTTGGTAGATTCGAGTATAGTTGTTGGTTAGGCTAGAAGGGAGTTCTAATTGCTGTAATTCCAAAACTATACGCTTCCCTAAAGAGATTTTTAAATCTTTGGTTTATTGCTTCCGCTATTTTAGTTGTTTATTTGTGTTCTAACAACGTTGAGCGCACTCATCGTAAAATACCTAAGTTTCATATATATCCCCAATTTTCTATTCTATTCTATAAATCACTCATGTTCTATTCTATATATCCCCAATTTTCAAATGCATGCTGTCACTTGGACCACTAAAATGAAAATCACTTATCTTTTAATTCAATAAATATACGTGAGTTAAAAGCAAAGGCTATGTCTTGTTACAAAATCATCATTACAGGACTCCCACTCCACTTGGCTTGAGTGGGCCTCCGTTAATGTGTTCCACTCAAGTGGAGATGGCTAAAACTTTTTTGGGCTCTGGATTTAGGGCCTACTTTCAAAAATTTTCTTTAATAACCCTTTTCCTGCTTAGTACAAATAGAATTGGTGAATAAAATAAGTCGTTCGTCAATTCAGTTCGACTCGTTAAGGTTTGAACTTGACATGACTCGTTAGACTCAAATATTTTTTTATAATTCGACTCTTTAATGTTGGTAAACGTGCCGAGCTCAAACTCTTGCACGTCTTGATAAAGGCTTTGAATATTAGGAGCTCGAGTATTTAGCTGGTTTATTACCGTATGATGAATGATACTTCAATCACAACATATTCTAAATACTTATGTTTCTTTATGGAATTTTTCAAAAAATTTCAAACATTTTAAACTCAATCATTTTTTTTAACTCAACTTTAACTCAACTCCACTATCATCAAAATTATCAATATAATTAAATAATATCAATCAATCATTCATACACACCATATCAATCTTAATTCACTATTCATCCACTCACATTATTTTAACTAACCATCACTTAAATTCTCTCTCTCTCTTACTTCTACATCAAATCAATTTTAATTATTTTATTTTAAATATTATTTTAATATATCCACTAACAACTAACCATACCACCTTCTTCAAAATTAACCAAACCAAATCATAAAATCTAAACAAAACCAAAAATTTTTATAAACAAACATGCTTTAAAGTAATTTGGTAGATTGTGTTATCAACTAATACATCTGAATATATTTTGAAATTATTAATTGCAATGAGTTTAATAGCTGACGACTATCCCCTCTATATATAATTTCAGAATGCGCTGAACTTACATGGTAAACTCTCATGCTTCAGAATCTTATTTGGCAAAAAATCATGCTTTGGAGTTAGGTTTGGATATAAATTAATATTTGTTTTAATTGTATTTAATATTATTTCTTATTATAACCATTGGATTGCAAATATATTTTAAAATGATAACTTTTGTATTTCTTATCGGTTTTACATATATAATATATCAAATTAAACATTTTTTGATGAGTTTCGATTTGACATCCATATTGTATATATAAAATAAATAAATTATATTTATCTCTATAATAATAATAAAATTATTTATTAAAATTAATTAGAAAATAAAATTATTTATCAACATGGGTTGACATTTTCATTTAATGTACGGGTTTTTAATTATTATGATTAAAAAAATATAATTTGACAATTTAATTAAACCCAGAGTAATGTTTTATATAACATTAAATTCTTTTAGTTTTTAAAAAAATTAAAAATTTAATATTTTTTACAAAAGCTTTTTAATTCAACACCCGTGTAATACACGGTTATTGTACTAGTATTAATTAATTATTATAAACTCGTTTATACTATTGTTACGGACAGGCCCATGAGCCCACAGGGGACAGAGGGAAGAAAAACTTCAGTCCAATCCTTTTCCCCAAAAACGACTCAACATTCACCAAGTAAATACACCAACTGGACGAAGGCCTACTTACAGAACTGGCCCTTTCAGGGCCTACGTGTAGTCTTTTTTCGCCAAATGTATTTATTCCTGATTTTTTTTTTATTTTAACTTGTCGTGCGAAAATTAAAAGAAAATTCAATCCTACCTATGTGGACACATTGAATCTTAACTATTATATCACACGTACACAAAACCCATTTAATCAAAAGGTGAAAAACTCGGTCACACATTGAAAGGGTGAAATTTGGGAAAAATTCAAATGGGAATTGCTCCAAAATGGTATCATACAAATATACAATCAGCAATAAAATCATTTCAAAAAGAAAAATTATACAAAATGAATAAATTGTTGGCTGGAAGATGTTGGCCGGGGACAACTGACTGTCCATTGGGCCCAATGTATTGATGGGCCTAAAGTCATTTCATTCAATTATTTGATACTTCATTTTGTTTTTAATATATGTAGTTTTGAGAAATTACATACTAATTAAAAATATTTTTTTTACTAATAATAACCCTCATTAATGAGGATAGAGATGAATGTTTTGAAAAAATATAAAAAGTGAATATGAAAAGACATAATGTATTTATTAGCTAGGTAAGGTAATTATAGTAAAAGATTCAAAACGTCATTTATTTAGACAATTATTGATAAAACCAAAATGACATTTAAANGGTAGTACTCTATATTGTACACGACTATGGAAGTCATCTAACTTGCAGCCATTGGCTGTCCTAGCCAATTATCATTGCACAGTGTAGTATAAAAATGGACACATTAATATATGAGAAAATTACTCCTACATAATTATTAAAACATCAAAATTAATATATCGCAGGTGTCAATTTGGGAGGCAAACTGGCAAATCGAGCCCAAGCTCAAAATCCAACTTTTGAGTTTTTATCAAAATTCCACACATAATTATTAAATGATTAATCTGAAATGACATACCTTGAAAAAATAAAAAACAAAAGTGTAAATACTAAATAGCATAATTATGATGATTGCACTACATGAGAATCTGTGAAACGTTTTTGTATTTATTTTCAATTGCCAAACCATATCCTTCAAAATATTTTACATGTGGTTCAAAATTTTACCTTTTTTTTTTTTTGCTTTGTCTTTTTATTTTTTTAATCAATCCACCAGTATACTTTTGTACTAAAGTAGCAATGACTAAGGGTGAGCATGGATCGGTACGGTTTGGAGATTGATAAATCTCTAGAATCGTACTGAAGTTCGGAAATTACTAAAATTCGATCTCCAGAACCGTACCAAAAAATCGGTTCGGTCCGGTTCGGTCCGGTTCGGAGGTTCTTATTTTTCGGTTCGGTTCGATTTGGTTTTCGGGACTATCGGACGGTTCGGTTCGGTTTGATTCGGTTCAGATATTCGGAGATTTTTTATCATTTTTAAAATTTTTTGAATGACAACCTAGTTATATTTTATTTTTTATATGTTTTTTTTTTTAAATCCAACATTCATCAATACTTCATCATACTAAAGATTTTATTTTTAAATCAACTTTAGAAGTAACCCTAAATTTTAGTTAAGACTAAATTCAACTAACATTGAAAATTTAAATTTCAAACAAAATATAATACAGTTTTATATTAAAGTAATATTTATTTAACCTTCCATACCATATTAGTTACTCCCTCCTATTTTTATTATTTGTTATTCTAGCTTAATTGATCATTTGTTAAATAAATGTCGTTTTGGCTATTTTGTACATATTTTTCCATTATTACCCTCATCTAACTAATAAATACATTACGTCTTTTCTTATTCACTCTCCATCTTTTCTCAAAACATCTATCTCTATCCTCATTAATGATGGTTATTATTGGTAAAAAAATATTCTAAATTATTGTGCAACTCCTCAAAACGACATTTATTCAAAATAGGAGGGAGTATAAGATAAACTAAGTCTAAGTATCAACAACTTTATGTAAAGCTTAAATATTTTTATTTTTTAAATCTTTAACCTTTCATTCTATTTTAATTTTTTTTTGAAATATGATAAATTCAATTGTAGATCAAGTATTGCTAATCATAAAATGTAAGTGAATCTTAATTGTTATTACTATATTTTATTTGCATTTTAAAAATTCTCAAATTATATAGGATCAAAGTTGACATAAAATATATTAATAGCACGCATTTATTTTTATAATTCGATTCTTCGATTCGGTACGTACGGGACGGTTCGGTTCAGTTCTCGGTGCGAATATTTATGAATATCCAGAACCGTACCAATTACTTTTTCGGTTCGGTTCGGTTCGGAGAAAGTCAAACGGTCAATGGATATTTTTCGATTCAGAGTGATTTCGATTTGGTTTTCGAAACGGTTCGGAATTTTTCGAGTCCCGTGCTCAGCCCTAGCAATGACACCTCAAAACTCATCATTATCGTCCATCTTAATCTCATTTGTGGTTGGCCCTCAAAATCTTTGAGGCAAAATATATACTTTTTTTGTTGGATAATTTATAGTCTGAGGTGGCAAAAATGGCCCCAGATTTCTAAATACGCCGTGTCAAACCACCATCACCACCGCCCCTGGTTTTTCGGTAGTCTCTCTCTCAGCTCTCATCTTATCTGTTTTCGGGGGTTTTTTTTTTTGGCCCAAAGGCCGTTCTTTTGGAATTATTGATTTTGTTCCCTTTTTTGCCGTGTTCTGATTTATTTTTTCTTAATGCCACCGTTTATTAATTAGATCTAGCTTCGTCGTTCTTGATTCTATGAAGGACTGTTTATAATTTTCCTTACCTGGGGCACAAAATCCTTGATTGTTGTTTGACATTTTTCTCGTTGTGTGTTCTAATCTTTTGTGGGCTCTCTCAAATTGATTCAACTAATCGAAAGATTCAATCTTTTTCTATTTTTGAAGTGTTTTCCTTTCGTTTCTCTTTGATTCTTCAGAAATCATCTGAAGATTCTGAAGATATGGTAACTGTAAATATGGGCACCTTTTACTATGTGCTGGATCACATCTATGGTGCATTATTGCACAGGACAAAGATAAGCCCTCCATTCTTTTCCAGAGGATGGGGTGGGACAAAGCTCGAGCTTTTGGAGAAGATGATCAATCAACTGTTTCCCGAGGTTGAAGGACAAAATTGGCCTCCAACTTTGGTCAAGCCCGTTTGGAAAACAGTTTGGGAGTCAAAAACCGCTTGTCTGAGAGAAGGTGTTTTCAGAACACCTTGTGAGGAGCAGCTTCTCAATGCATTGCCTCCCGAGAGCCAAATGGCGAGGGTAGCTTTTCTGGCCCCGAGATTCGTGCCACCACAAAAGATGGCTTGTGTTGTGCATCTTGCAGGTGTGGGTATATATGTTGTAGATATGATTGAATTTGCAATATGTTGAATGATGGCATTGGTTTCGTTGAATTTTTTTGAGGTTGAATACTAGAATGTGTGTATGTGGTGAGTTTACTTTCTTAGGCAGGTATGGTGAAATATGATTGGCTTGGGGAGTTTTTGCTTAGGCCTATGGTTTTGGAATGAGCAATTGAGGTTGTAATAGGATATGTTTCCATATTGCTAGAAGAACCGAATTTTGAGGGGGAGATGGATATGAATATGGCATTTGAAAATGTGATGATAAAAGTTGATTTGGTGTAAAATTCATGAGAACTGGTGATTTTATATCAGTGGTTATTTGTAGAAATATGCTGGTTGCTGACCGTGAAATTTATAAGAGATGCATCATAACGACAAATGGTTTGATGGTTTTTGTTGAAAAATGAGTTAAGAGATTGACCGGAAAAAAAAC